TTCCTCTCTGTAAAAGATCAATAAAATATATTTAAAATAAAATAAAAATTGATTTAAGAGAGAGAGAGAGAGGAGAGGAGAGGGAGAGAGACCGAGAGAAATATCATTGTGAAAGCACAACGTCGATCTGTTGGTTGTCTCCCGTTTGCATCCCCTCTTCCTTCTGGGCTTCCTGGAAGCACCTCCCAAACAAACCACGTGCACCCCAATCCTAGGTTCTGCTTCCGGGGAAACCCAAACTAAGGCAAGGCCTGAAATGCTCCTAACCAGAAAAAAAGTGATATCCCGGCAGGAGGAACCCTCTAAAAGGGAAGAAAGCTCCTGGAGATCATCAAAATGAGACGTTTTTAAACTTTGTATCTCTTCCCAAAGGGTGAACTGGATCCTCTGTTTTTAAAACAGTTTTCATGTAAATAAGTGCCAAGAATGGTGCCTGGCACACAGGAAGTTGAATGTCGTATAGAAAGAATTTTAAAGTGGGGGAGGGTCCTTGAGCCCGGTCCCCCTCCCCACCATCCTTAGGCACCCAGGGAGGTGAAGTTGGCAGTCCTATCTCACTGGGGCTCAGGGTGGGGACTGGCTCAGGGCTATCCTGTGGGCTGGAGGCAGGACTGACCTGGATCCCTGGCCTCTCCCTCCCTTGGAGCAGCCCCCTCCCTGTCCCCTCCCGCCTCCGGGCACTGACCTGTGATAGTGAGGATGCAGAGGAAGATGGCTACCAGCACGGGGATGATGTTGTACCCCTGGTAGAGTTTCCCGTTGCAGAAGGTGGCCTCGCCATGCTCGTTGCACTTGCACACCGTCACGGTCAGCGTGCTGGTGCCTGTGAGGCTCGGCCGCCCGTTGTCCGAGATGAGCACAGGCAGGTGGTGGACCTTGGTATGCTCCCGGTCAAACTGCCCATACTTGACGGTGATGTTGGCCGTGTTATCTGGAAGCACCAGGGCCTCAGAGTCAGGCTGTGCTGCCAGGAGTGCCTGTCCCCTTGTCTGCCCTGACAGTGTAGCTTGTCTCCTCCTGGGAGTCCTCCTGGATTGTGCTCGCCCATGTGCCACCTGGGGTGCCTCTGTGTTTTTTTGCATCCCCTGCCTTATGTTTCAGCCTTTTGTTCTTCCAGAGCGGGGATATTTTGGGCAGCTCCTTGGATGTATCTTCTAAGACTGGCTTGGCCAGAATGTAAAATCCCTGTTTTCTCTTTCTGTGGGCATCTAATATGCCTGATCCCTTCCTCCCTAACTCCACTCTAATGATAGGCGACTCTCTTTCAGCTCAGTTAATGAATGTATTGTTTTAAGCTCTGACAAATAATAATCGGGGAAATAAAGTTTTCAATAGTCTTTTAGATCAGGCTAACTTCTGAGACTCTTTCTGTTATCCCTGCAAATTGGCTAGAAAGTAAAAACAGTGCTTACGTTCCTGGGCATGCTGAGGGAATGATTGCATATGGACTTGAGAATATCTGGGGCAGGCTGGGCCTGGGGCTGGGCTTTGGCCCGAATTTGACTTTCCCTTCCAGCTCCAATCAATGGTGTCCTGTGCAGAACCCCCGAGGGAGCGTTTTAAACCTGCAGGCGTTCAGACCTCACCCCTTCCCAACCACCTCCTTTCCTTGCGTCCCTATCCCCCGTCCATTGCTGACTCCGTGGCTTTGGGCAGAGGCCAGATAATCCTCCCTTTGTAGGCTTCCTGGGAGGTCATGATACTGATGGCCGGGGGAGGGCACAGGATTTGGAGGGGGTATTTGGCCGCTGTGTAGGGTTGGTCCATGAAGCAAGCCAGCCGAGAGCAAAGGAGGCCATATTTTAGATTTCAAAGGAAAGCTAGTGCATTTCATTATTAAGTAGCCTTGTCTGTTATACTTGAGAGTGAACAATATGGCCATTGGCACTATGGGAGAAATGAGCGCTTTCTTACTATTCCCATTTAATGCTATAGCAGGACACTCACGCTCAGTGAATCCAAGACCAACAAGCTTGCCTCCTGGCCGCACGTGGGGGCTCCTTGGGGTAGCACTTAAGCTTTCCACCCCCTTGCAGACCTCTCTGAGGTGGGATTGAGGTGGACCTTGGGATGGGGTGATGGGTATTTTGGCCACATTAGTTACTACTAAAGACAGCTGAACGCTGAGTGGTCCGTCATTGACTGTCAACACGTCATGGCCACCTTCCCTGCCCCCAGGAGGCTGTGGCCGATCCTCTGGGTCTGCCCCCGCTCTCAGAGATTCCTTCTCCGACCTTCCTCATCCTGACCCTGCAGTGGCTGTGTCCATACAGGGATCCTCACCAACAACAGTTTTGCCAATCAGGGACGGGCAGGAATTCCACCCCATGCTGGGCGATGGATTGCTCTAGTGAGATTTAAGGGGGATTTTTATTTTTATTTTATTTTTTCTGAGGAAGCTGCTGAAGCTACGGAAACCTGTCTACCAGTGACCGGAGTGCAATCAACTCAGCATGATCCCACCCCTGAGCGCTTACTCATTGGAAGCTCTGATTGGCTACTACTGACATCATAGGACTCTCTGGGCTGTGATTGGTGGACCAGATCCTGTCCCAGGCCCCTGGCAGTAAGTAGTTATTGTAATTGAATTAAGACCAAGTTTTCTGATTCCTTGGCATTTCGAATTTCACATGTCCAGTTTTGACTTTTTGGAAGTGACCTCAAAGTTCCATGTCATAGACTAATTTGTAATTATGCGGAGCTCAGAGATTGCGTGTGAGAAGGAATCCCTTGGCTAGTTTGGGAACCGAACTGACTGTCTGCACCTGTATCTATTCTGTACGCCTAGTCTCTTACGGGAAATGGCAGGCTATGCGGACTTGACAGTTTGGCCAGGGCACCTCTGACCATTGTATAGGCCAATAAGGTATTTGGCAGAAGCCGAACTGACTGTCTGCACCTGTATCTATTCTGTACGCCTAGTCTCTTATGGGAAATGGCAGGCTATGAGGACTTGACAGTTTGGCCAGAGCACCTATGACCATTGTATAGGCCAATAAGGATTTGGCAGAAATTGTACAAAATATGCCATGAAATGAAAACCCCAGTGAGGCCTTGCCCCCAGTTTGTTGGCTTGAGCCTTGATCCTGGCGCTTCAAGACTCAAATAACCTCCCTCCTGACCCTCCTAAGAGCCAGGTACTTTCATGTGGACGTACCGTGATTATCCGTGAGGGTGAAGTTGCTGTCCTGGGTGTTCAGGGAGAATTTGAACTTCACATTTTTTGGCGTTATGTCCGCGTCTGTTGCCAAGATTTGCACCACCAGCTGGAGTGTGGAAGATGCGGGTGGTCAGTGATGGTGCTGGGCTTGTCTGGAGTTCAGTGATGGAGACTTTGGGTTTAGACCTGGCCCTGGCTGCCTCCCACCTGCAACGCTGACTTAGAGAGAGAGAGAGAGAGAGAGAGAGAGAGAGAGAGAGACACACACTAGAGGGAAACAAGCTATTTTGCCTTGGACAACTCATGTAAGCTGTGTGGTTCTTCCTGTTCTCCCTTCCCCACTGGTTGTTGGGAAATCAAATGTAAAAGCATCATGTAGGGTGAAGGACTTTGTACATGTAAGCCAGTCTTAGCTTCCTGACTGACAAAGGGGGTTTCAATATTGCAAAGTGCAACTTATTGAATTGTGGACCATAAGGATGAACTTCCACTGTGAGAGGATGGACGCTGATGCTAAATTGCTTGGAATTTAATCCCAGCAACTTAGTTTACTAACGGTCATTTGACATTGGAAATGTTACTTAAACTCTCTGTGTCATGGATTTTCACCTGTAAAATATGAAAAGAGTATTTCTCAATTGATAACCTAGCTGTGAAATAGCAACAAATTAATACATGAAAAATAGTTTGAAGAGCCTGACCTGTACAAAAAACATAAGCTAACACACATTTTTTTTTGTTTACATTTGGAAGATTGCTGAGAACCTCACGCCATTGGAAGTTCCGTGTGCCTGCTATCTAAAAGGCGCATGTGTAAATCTTTTTGCATTTAGTAGATGCTGTGGGCTTGATTTCTTGTTCCTTTCACCACTGAACATCCTGTGAATGGCAGTGTCTCCCACTCACTTAGCTTATTGTCAAGTCCATCATTCTGACTCTGAATCGTGGGTCCTTGCTGGGCTCTGCTAACAGCTTCCATCAGTTTAATGTCATATAGTTTAGACCAGTGATGGCGAGCCTATGACACGCGTGTCAGAGGTGACATGCGAACTCATTTTTTTGGTTGATTTTTCTTTGTTAAATGGCATTTAAATATATAAAATAAATATCAAAAATATAAGTCTTTGTGTTACTATGGTTGCAAATATCAAAAAATTTCTATATGTGACACGGCACCAGAGTTAAGTTAGGGTTTTTCAAAATGCTGACACGCCGAGCTCAAAAGGTTTGCCATCACTGGTCTAGAAAAAGGACCACAGAAGGTACACTAAAGTGCTAACAGTAGTGGTCTCTGTATGGTAGGATTATGGGGGGATCATTTTCTTCTCCTAGTTTGTATTTTCCATATTTTAAAAGAAACAACAAATAACTTTTAAAATTTAAATTACTTTCAAAATTTTAAAAAGTGTATGACTGTAAATAGATGGGGAAGAAAGGGCTAAAGATGGATCTGAAAACACAGGAGTCCATCACAGTTGGCCTGGCTGTCATACTGGGGATGTGGGTAGCACTGGGGGGCGGTGGCCAAGTCCTGCTTTCGCCCCCTCTCCAGGGGAGGGCGTGGTCTCCTGGGTGAGGCGGGAATGTTAATCTTCCTCTGTAGGGCAGTGGTGATTTTCTTATAGAGGCCAAGGGTGCAAAACTCCAACTCTTGCCTTTCCCTTTGGCGCATGTTACACCAATTTCTGGAGAACCTAACCACCTTGGAGTTAGAACCTGCCGCAGATTTTGAATTCAACCCCCTAACTGGGACATAAAGAGCCCCAGACAGCCTTTTCCAAAATCCATGATCATAAGAATCATGTGGCGCTTGTCCAATGCATGTTTCTTGGCCCCGTTTCTGGCTCACTGGGCCTGAACCTCCAGGGAGGGGTCTGCAAAGCTCTAGGTTAAGAGGTGCCCCAGGTGATTCCTGTCACGGGGACAGCGCTTCATAAACGGTACTGTGCATGAGATTCCGATTCAGTCTCGGGTTGGGGCCTGGCCCTTGGCCCTGATAACAAGGTCTCAGGGGATATGGACGCTTGCTGGTCCGTCCGCACTCGGGGATGAAGGCTGCCTAACATCCCAGCCAAGCGGTGCTCTAAGGGAGCTTAGAAACCTCCAGAGACCCACCGTGACAGATGATGCCAACTTCGAATGAAGGAAGGAAAGGAGAAAAGCCCCGATGGCCTGGCAGATGGGGTTACTCACCTCTAGAATCCAGCTCCTTGGCCTCCACAGTCAGGTTATACCAGGGAGTGACTTCTCTGTCTACTTCTTTCTCGTTGTAAATATTCCCCTGCTTGCTTATTTGGAAGAACTGGCCCTTGTCGCTGGTCCTGCGGATGAAGTATCTGCCGGGGGGGAGAGAGAATCATGGCTTTCTATTGCTCTTTGCTGAGTTCACTTCCCTAGTATGACAGACAAGGCCCTTCAGGATCTGTCCCTTGCATCCTCCTCCGTCCTCTTCTCACTGCCCGGCTGAGTTCACTTCCCTAGTATGACAGACAAGGCCCTTGCATCCTCCTCCGTCCTCTTCTCACTGCCCATTGCACCCCACCACCCAGAGGGGTCCAGAGAAGCGAGGTGATCCCTTTGATCTTAGTGCTGTTGTCATCTCTGATGTGAGGGTGGTGCCTGAGACTCCATCAACTGTGCTCTCAGAGCTGAGGCAGGTGCACTTTCATCACCTACCCTATAGCTGGGATTGTGTTTGTGATGAATGAAAAGATAGTTGGGCAAGAGCCAGGAAGAAATATAAAAAAAAGGAGCTGTAAGAGATAAGAAGTGAGTGAAAGAAAATTAAATTTGTGAAGTAAAACTGTAAACAGTTCTTCCAGAAATCATAAACAAAGGTATGAAGAGGTGAAAAGAGAGAGGAGAACTATAATTATAATAATTATTTGCTACCACTGAAGAAAGTTCCAGAGCAAATGGAACAGAAGAAATGACAAAAGATATAATGAAAGGAAACTTTCCTGATCTGAAGAAAGGCCTGAATCTACAGATTAAAAGTGGCCATTGATATGAGGCATGGTTTTAAAAGGGGATCAGTATTTAGGTATATCCTGATGACACTTTTGAATTTCAAGTCTATACGAAGACACTGAAGGGTCCAGTTAGGGAAAAAAAAAAGCATTTTTATAAAGAGAAACCAGAGTCACCCCAGAAAGTCCCCATAAATTAAATGCTAGAACACTTTGATAGTAGTTTTGGAGTGAAGTGTCTATAATCTGAGTATTAGACAAGCACATCTAGATGTTATGAACATAAGAAGGCAAAACAAAACAAACTGTGGTGTTTGTAAACATGCAAGAAATCAGGAATGATAGCTCTCATCCACAAAGAGAGGCCCTGAAAAAATTTTTTTGAAAACTTCATCTAATTGAAAAATGTCTCAATATAAAGCAAAACCTTGGGAGGAATTAAAATGAAACTATTGATTTATTATTATATATAAAAAAGCAATGGTGTTGTGTGTGTGTGTGTGTGTGTGTGTGTGTGTGTGTGAGAGAGAGATATAGAGAGAGAGAGAGATTGATTTTTAACTAGAAAATGTAGGTCCTGGGAAACATTTATAATTTTACAGATGGAAGTAAATTTCACTGATAAAAGTCAAAATGAATGTACTGTACCCAAATATCTTGGAGAAAAAAATAGATGGGGGAAAAGAAGAAAAACCATTAAGTTTGAGAAATGGGAAATGTAAAACAAAATAAAAAAATAAAATTGTATTTGTCACTTATGATGAAAAAATGTAAATAGGTTACACACAAAGCATCCCAGTTTAGATGAAAAAGCAAAGTCAACTACGTTGTATTTTTGAAAGACAACTTAATGTCAAATGACCTGGCAAAGCTAAGAGTCAAGTTTGGAAAATATATTATCAGGCAAACACGAATAACATGAACAGAGGACTGGTGAACTTAACATCAGGCAACGTGGAGTTGAAGGCAAAATGTTTAGGCGGGAAAAACTGGGTAAGGTCATAGGATAAAAGTTAGAAGTTGTAGCGAAGGTAAAATAGTTATCAACTATTAGAAACACGAAAATACATAAAGCAAAAGCGTCAAGGAAAAGAATGAACACAGCTACCATTATATTACATCACGAAACAAGTTAAAGCAAAAATACAAAATGCCCTACCACTGGTAAGTGAAAAGAAAAAAGCCGATCTTAAATTAGCCCTTGGGTCAGTGAAGAAGAAAAGTGATCGTCACAGACTATTTAGAGTAGAATGGCCATGAGAGCAGTAGCCCAGGAACGTAGGAGATGTGTCCAGAAAGGAGGGTCGCGTTTGTCCTTAAGAAGAAGACGATAACATAGAAACATTAACTCCCCCACATTGATATGTAAACACGATTCTCATTAGAATTCCGATGGGTTTTAAAAAACTGGGTAAAGAATTTAAAAATTCAAAAGAAAGACTGTTTTAGGGTGCATAGAAAGTATGTAAAGTAAAAAGCAAGGAGGGAGGGGCTTACCCTCTATACACCAAGTTTCAGGGTAAAGCTGCTACAATAAAACAGGATGGCTTTGCCAGAGAATAGATAGAATAGAGGATTCAGAAATAGATTTGGATGCAGACAGGAGCCTAGTATATAAAGAGGGTCAGGAAACCAGGAGTTACTTATTTGGTGCTGGTACCATCGGCTAATCCTCGGGAATAGCATGAGATTGGATTAAATTCATAATCACTATCAAATGTTAAGTGGCCCTAGAAAGTATGAGTTAGAACTATATCTTTTGTCCCAGGGGGTGAAGAGAGGAGTCTAGTTGAGACAGAAGAACAAGTGGTGATGAAATGGGCATGGCATGATAAAAAAAATTAAAACAATAAAAAAACCAAACCGGACAAGCAAACAACAGACCTGCCGTTAACATATCTTGCCATTTGCCATGAAGAAAGGCGTGATAGGACCCCATCAAACATGAGTTTGGTGAACAGGCGTTATCTGGGAGTGGGGGGCTGCTGATGTTTCTTTATCCATCTTTGTGTCATTTCTCCGTGAAATGAGCACTTTTCCCTCTTGTGTTTTGGGAAGACAGATTTAATAAAACGTGTTGGGTGCAGAGAATTTACATATGTTGTCTGGTTGGTTGCCCTCTTGACCATCAGGTCTCCCTCGATGAGGTCTGGGGGAGCCAGACCTGGGGGAGCCGGGGTCCAGAGAACAGGCCCTTCAAGGCCGAGGGGCTCTGGTGGCCGGGGCTGTGCGAGGTGGTGCTCAGGCAGGACACGGTCCCAGAGGGTGGAAGAGAGGGCCACGTGGGCCAGTGGGAGAGCTTGGCTGCTAGTCCTGTCTCTGCGTTTCCCACGTACGCGCCGGGAGGTTTTCCCTTTGGGCCTGGGCTCAGTCCAGCAGCCAGAAGGACCTCAGGCCAGGACTGTCATGACCACCCCCTTCCTCACCCCCTCCTCACCCAATGCTCCTCCGCGCGGCGTCGGGGTCCACGGCCAGCACCGAGCCGATGAGAGGTTTCTTGAGGTTCTCCTGCAGCTGGAAGTGGTAGAAGGGCTTCTGGAAGACGGGGGGCTCGTCCACGTCGGTGACATGGATGGTGACACGGGCCTTGTTTTTGGCGGAGACGCTGCTTGAGTAGCGGAGGTTGATGGTCGGGTCCGTGGCCTCGATGGTGAAGCTGTATTGCTGGATGCGTTCGTAGTCCAGGGGCTGTGGAGGGAAGAGGATGGTGAGCCCCTGTTCAGAGCCCCGCATGTGGGGTGTGATCTTGCCAGCAGTCCTGCGAGGTAGTTCCGGGATGATACCCATTTTACAGATGAGGGGCTGGAGGCCTGGAGAAGTGATATTTCCCAGGCCATCAAGGGAGTGGCTGTCTGCAGCTGCCCCCCCCCCCTCCCATCTCAGCTGTTTCCTTGCTCCACCCTCAAGCCTGGCCCTGTTTCAAATCCTGGGGACACACAGGGACCAGCCCCAGTCTTGCTCTCAAGGGGGATCAAAGACTAGTGGTTCTAGCCACAGCTCCTTAAGGACGAGTCTTTTCTTATGTTTTTGCTCAAGAATCTTCTCCTGCCCTTGCCTGCTTAGTACAGTGGGGTCTTGACTTACCAGTGTCCCGACTAACGAGTTTTTTGAGATACCAGCTGTCTCTCGGCTGATTTTTTGCATTGAGTTGATAGAGTAATTTGAGTTAACGAGCTCCTTAACTAGCTCGGTCTCGGAACGAATTAAACTTGTAAGTCAAGGCCCCACTGTACTCTCCTACTCACCCTTCCAGAAGCCGATTCATCTTCCTCCTTTTCTCCTGTCACTGCTGCTGGGGCTTCCTGGGATCACCTCCCACGTAAACTGTTTACACCAAATCCTTGCCTCACGGTCTGCTTCAGGCATGACCCAGCCTAAGGCACCGATCCTTCTCTCCTCGCTACGCCGTCCCAGTGTCCGTGAGCACATGGCTAGCTCCAAGCTGACCAGAGTGCATCTCTGATGGCCTCTGACCTGCTAGCCACCCTGGGCGAGTTCTGGAGATGCTGGGAGCCCCCAACCCCACATCTGTCCCCATCGCCCCCGGCCTGCAAACCTTTGTGGGCTTGATGATGCCCTCGTTGTGGGCGGGGTCCGTCTGGATGGTGAAGGTGTCCCTGAACTCTCCCTGCACGATGCTGTACTTGGTCATCCGGTGCTGGGGTTCGTCTGGGTCCTCAACAAACAGAGAGCCCAGGGGGCTGCCCACACGGATGTCTTCAGGCACCGTAAAGTTGTAGTTGGCTGATGCAAATAGGGCGCCCCAGAGGGCATTAGGTTAATGAGATCCACAAGGCAATTGTCCCTCCTATTACCCTAATATATTCTGATACGGGAAATGGGCATGGGAAGATAATAATAATCCTATATAATAAAAGCCTAATATGCTAAGTGTCTCACCATTCATTCGACCGTTCGACCAGTCACTATGATGGGTACTGACCATCAGGGGGCAGGTGCTCCAACCAGTAGGTTAGCTTGCTGCTGGGGTCCGGCCGATTGGGACTGGGTGAGATGGGTCGGACATGCCCTGGAGCCCTCCCACGGTCCCTCCCTGGCCCCGATGGTGCACCAGTGGGGTCCCTTGGCCTGGCCTGTGCCCTCTCGCAATCCGGGACCCCTCAGGGGATGTCAGAGAGCCAGTTTTGGCCTGATCCCCGCAGGCCAGGTCAAGGGACCCCACCGGTGCACTAATCCTTGCACTGGGCCTCTAGTTAATAATAATAATAATGCCACTGGAATTTTCAGTGTCAAGGCAAAATAGTTCTCCTCTATCTGTCCATCCATCCATCCATCCATCCATCCATCCATCCATCCATCTATCCATCCATCTATCGAACTAGTTATTAAGCATCTACTGTATGCCAGGCACTTTGCTAGGGGAATTATGCATTGACAAGAGGGACAAGGAGGCAAGTCCCGCCTTCCGGGAGCTTAAGCCATGCACAACGAGGCCACTTCAGGAAAACTGGCCTGTCCTTGGGGAGGCCGAGCGTCTGGCTTTGCCTCAGTATTAGAGGGTTCATGTGAAGAGCCATCGCCTTCCTCCTCAACCCCACCCAGGGCATGTGAAAAGCTCTTGTCAGACATTTTTGGGGAGAATCAGTCTGTGGCTGGGCTCAGTGTTCTGAGTCAGGGGCAGTAGGACAGCCTTGGGAATGTGCGCAGGGATGGGGAGCAGGGCCCCTCCTTCGCCAAAGTGACTTCCCTGAGCCCTAGGCCCACCCTGGGGTGGGGTGAGGGGTCGAGCCCCAGGTCACTGCATCTGGAGCATTCCGCCCGCTGCCCTGCCCAGGGTCCCAGGGGAGGGGCTCACTCTTGGTGAAGATGGGGAAGTTGTCGTTGATGTCCTCCAGAGTGATCAGCACGGTGGTCGTGCCGGAGTCCCCGCGGAGGCCCTGGGCATCTTGGGCTTCCACCACGATCTCGTACTTGGCCTGTGTTTCTCGGTCCAGGTTGTTGACTTTGGTGAAGACGAGTCCTGCAGAAAGGGTCCCAGCAGGAGCCATGTTACCTGGGGAGCTTGGAGAAAATGCTGGTGCCCAGGCCTTCTCCAGAGGGCACCTGACTGCAAAGCGCCCAGGGCATTCTAGTGTGCAGCCAGGGCTGAGGGACACTGGCCAACCACCCCCTGCCGCCACCCCTGCACTTCGAGGCCAGAGCTGCCCAAACAGTTTGGTCCAATATTAGCCTTAGCTGCCGGGAGCACTGTGCTGAGAAAGAGCCTGAGGCCCCCTCTCGGCTCAGCGTAGAGGAGGCCTGTGATGGGTCCGTGTGCCCACCGTGGCGCCCCACAGGGAGGGTGCGTCTGCTATGTATTTGCCATCCCTTCAGGCCTATCTTGCTCTGAAGACTCAGTCCTTACAGTTTTTCTTTTTTTAAGTCCTCAGCCGAGGGTATATTTTACATTGATTTCCAGAGAGAGTGGAAGGGAGGGAGGTGGGGGAGAGAGAGAAACATCAACAGGAGAGCGACACATTGATTGGCTGCTTCTCGCACGCGCCCCTGCTGGGGCTGGGGAACTTGCAACAAACCTGCAACCAAGGTACATGCCCTTGACCCGAAATCAAACCTACAACCCTTCGGTCTGAGAGCTGATGTTCTCACCACTGAGCAACTGGCCAGGGCAGTCCTTACAATTCTTAAAGCCACACTGAGTATATAATTACAATGGGCCATTTGCTCTCTATACATCATATCAAACTCAAACTTCACAACCACTGTGCAGGACGAATAGAAGCATCCCATTCTGGGGTGTGGGAACGAGGGCTCACAGAGGTTAGTGGACTTGCCTGAGGTCTTTAGAGAAGGCGAGTGGGAGAGCTGGGCCTGGCAGCCAGGTCTGTCTGAACCTGCACCCAGAGCTGTAACCAGCTTCCACTCCTGCCTCCTGTGTCCACGCGTGGGTCCTGATTTTGTTCCCTGGACTGGAGTCCGTGTCTTGGGCACCTGTCTGCTTCCTTCTGCCCTCACCAGCCACCTTGTCTTACCATGGGATACCAACCACCTCCTTAGCACAGTGTGGCCAAGTGGTCAGTGACCCCTGTCAGACTGGGCTTCCCTCAGCACCCACACCAACCCCCCCCCCCCCCCCCCCCCCGAGCCACAGGAGGGTCAGTCTCACAGACCAGAGTTAGAAATGCCAAAATATTCGTCTCCTTTCAGGATGTGGTACATGACGGTGGTGTGCTCTGCCACGGTGGGGTCATCTGCATCCACTGCTGTCAGTTGGAAGACGGAGGTCCCTGTGGAGAGAGAGTCCAGGGGTTGCAGCCGTGTGACTGCCAGCCCCACCCCGTTCCCAGATGGGTGTCCCCTGAACCCACCTCCCCCAGGGCCCCCGGGCGAAAAGGCTGCGTTATTTCCTGAGGAGCCTGCATGGGGGCAAAGTGCTGGCAGCAGGGTAGGCTCAGCCTGATCGGCCTCGAAGGGGGCAGAGAGAGCAGGTGACTTCCATTTACGGGGGAGGGAGGAAGGGGCACGTGGTGGGGTCATGAGGAGGAACCTAGGAGAGTGAGGGATGCTTCTTTCCTGCCCTGGAAGGTGAAACAAGGGCGTGGGAAGAGGCCCCCACAGGGGTGGGGGTTACAGCTCTTTCCCCTTGAATACCAGGACCCCCCTTCTTAATAGAAGGTCTGGTCCCAGGGCCTTGGCCGGGGCCCCTGGACTAAGCGGGGGAAGGGAACCCTTTCAGGCACCTCCTGGGAGCTTGGGGTGGAACTGAGTGGATAGTAATCTCTGGAGGCCTGTGGTCCAGGCTGGTGACACACCTTGAGGTGAGGGCCCCAGTCCTGCCCCCTCTACTCCTGCATGGATCCCAGAGAGGACTCGTCTCACCTTGGTGGCAGAGCTGGCATTATTCATGTGCAAAAGCTATGCTCTGTGTCAGTCCTGAGAGTCAGAGAGTGGGTGGGGTTTGCTCTGAAAAGTAATCAGACATGTGTGCCTCTGATGGTGAAGGCTCAGTCCATGATCAGGATCAGGGCTCAGTCTATGGCTAGGGTCAGGGTTCAGTCTGTGATCAGGATCAGGGTTCAGTCAATGATCAGGATCAGGGCTCAGTCTATGGCTAGGGTCAGGGTTCAGTCCATGATCAGAATCAGGGTTCAGTCTATGGCTAGGGTCAGGGTTCAGTCCAAGATCAGGATCAGGGTTCAGTCTATGACTAGGGTCAGGGCTCAGTCCATGATCAGGATCAGGGCGCAGTCTATGGCTGGGGTCATTACAATCACTGCCCTAAACTCACTGAATCCTAGCCCCAGGCATTGAAGTTGTTGATGGAGAGGCGCCTCCAGGCTGGGGATGGGGGAGGAAGAGGAGAGAGGGACAGACTGAGCACATACCCGCAGCTGACATCTCGGACACAGATGCGTTGAAAAACTGGTGAGTGAACACAGGCCAGTTGTCGTTCACGTCGTAAACTTTGATGAGAAAATTGGAAGGAGGCTCCAGCTCCTTGTTGGTGTTCTTGTCCACTATGAGGGCAGTGAGGTGGTACTGGGAGGTCTTCTCCCTGTCCAGCCTCTCAAAGGCAAACACATCCCCCGTGACCTCATTGACCCGGAAGATCTTGTCAGCCGCCTCTCCTCGCAGCACGTATTTGGTGTTCTTGCGGTTCTCACTCGATATGATCTAGGAAAGAAGAGGTGCTCTGAGCTGGGAATGGGCAGCGGTGGCTGTGTGTGTGTGTGCATGCAAGTTCCTGTGTGCATGTACATGTGTGTGTATGTACACACATGCATGTTTGTGCACATGTGTGTATGTGTGGTGCTGGCCAGGGATCCAAATGGGACACTGCAATTTTAAAAAATTAAAGTATAGTTGACATACAACCGAGTGTAGAGAAGGGTCTGCAAGGTGAGGACATGGGACTGGGCGTGAGGTGGAGGGAGGGAGAGAGGCAGGGCAGCAGCTGGAGGTGGTGAGCTTCCTGGAGCAGGGCTGCGGTGTGCGGGGCAGGCAGATGGGTCCATGCGGAGGTCCCATGCCCAGTGGCTGTGTCATCTGATGAACAGCGAGGCTCTCACAGGTGGCCTGAAGGGACGGTCGGGGGCCCCGTGTGGGTTGCTCAGGGTTAGGATACAAGGGTAGTTCCAAACTTGGTTCCGATCCGTGTGCTGGGATCCACATGGTTTGGGTAGTGAGGGGGAGTGAGTCACCTTTGATCTGTTCTATTAGAATTCTGCGTAAGAGTTCATTAGAATATATCCTTCCTCCGACAGAGGGTGCTCGTACTTCCTGCTCCCAACTTCCTTTATTAGTGACATCTCACACTAGTCTGGTACCTTCGTTATAATTAAAGGACCGATACTGTTACGTTATCATTGACCCAAGTACGCAGTTTATGCAGATTTTTAAAGTTTTTACTGGATGCCCCTTTTTTCGTTCTCGGATCCCATCCAGGGCACCACATGACATCCAGTCATCAGATTTCTGTCCCCTCCTCTGGGCTGTGACAGTTTCTCAGACTTTCAGTGTTTCTGATGATGACCCTGCCCGTTTAAAGATGCCCGGGTGTAGAATGTCCTTCTGTTGGAATTTGTCTGACGTTTTCCCCATAATTAGGCTGAGGGTATAGATTGTGGGGAGCCCTCCTCTTTAAACGTTATCACTGTAGCCCTGGCCAGTGTGGCTCAGTTGGCTGAGCATCAAGGGGTCACAGGTTCAATTCCCGTCAGGGCACTTGCCTAGGTTCCAGGCTCAATCCCCAGTTAGGGGGCGTGCAGGAGGCAGCCGATCCATGTTTCTCTCTCTCTCCCTCTCCCTTTCTCCCTTTCTCTCTCTCTGTAAAATCAATAAAAACATATAAAAAAGAGTCTGTTTACTTAAAATATATTTAAAAAAATGATCAGTATATTTGGACATAAGGTATTAATGCCCAAAGCCATGCTGACCCGTGTCTGCGGATTCAGAAGTCTGCCCAGGCCTCACGCCCATTGTCCAACCAGCTCTGTAAACAAAGGCGCTGCGCTCTGGCCTTGGTAAACAGGGACTTCCTTCCCTCGGATGACATCTTTGGGAGTCAGGAGGTGATCTTGGAGCCCTGTCCTTGTCCCTCCCCATGTACCCTCGCTTCTATCCGGGGTGGGGACTGCCTTCGGCTCCTCTGTCCCCCAGCCCAGTTCCAGGTGCCAAGTGAGCGCTGATGGCAGATGACGGCAGGCCTGACGCTCTTCCTGCTGCCGAGGGCCCTTGGGGGAGCCCGCAGAGGCTGCGTGTCAGGCTGTGTGCGACACAGGTGCCGCCTGCTCTCTGCTGATTCTCTCTGACTCATCCTGCAGATCTCCTTGGAGCCGGCCACTCTCTTCGGCGGCTGACTCATGGCACAATTATCTCATTACAAAGGACGTGGGTGGGTTGGTGATATTTCCCTCTGTGACAGAGGACTCACGTCAGGAGCCGGGAGCCTGATGCTTTCGTGCGTTCTCCTAGGGCTGTGTCCTGGGCAAGCGTCTTTTCCCCTTGAGTGGCCGCATCGAGCGATTTAAACGTCCCAGTCCCTTTTGGGAGCCAGACTAGACCCCGGGCACAGTCGGCTGGCTGTTGGCGGGGCTGTGGATGGGTTCCCCCAGCTGCTGTGGCGTTTCTGATGGGCGGTTGGACTGCGCCCTCCTCCATCCAGGGTCCTCTCTATAACCACAGGGCTCCTCCATCAGTGCTGTTTGCGGGGCTCTCTGCCTACTGTCTGCTATCCCTCTAGACTAGGCTGGGAAAACTGTTTCTGTAAAAGGCCAGACAGTAAATATTTCCAGCTTCGTAGGTCATAGGGTCTTCATCACAGCAACTCAAATATGCCATCGTAGCGTGAAAGCAGCCACGGCGATGTGTAAATCATGTGACTGTCCCCATAAATCTGTGTATATAAAGCCATGTGGTGGGCTGGTTCTGCCAGCCCCTATTTTAGACCACAAGCTGCAGAAGGATGGGGGCCAGGCTATCTTCGCCCACCGTGGTCTCCCCAGAGCCTCGCCCGTGCTTGGCACCCTACTTCCTCTCGTCAGCGCATTGATCTGGTACTTCTGTAGCCAGCCATGTTTAGATTCCAAGAAACTGACATGGTGAGATTTTATGCACTTGAAAGAAATGCTTTCCTCACTGAACGCTCTCAAAAGACCTACTCCATCTACCGGTCATCGTGTGTGAAATCCACCGCTAGAGCTATTCTTCCGAATTAGAGTGGTTCTGACATCAGGAACAATGTGACACAGGAATGCAGTTCACTGTCAGTCTGAGTTCTAGGAAGGTGACTGGGGATGAGCATGTTTTAAAGAGGAAGGAAGTAGGGGTTGGAGACCTGGAGGGCAGGTGTGTGTCAGTCAGGGACCTTGTTGTGGGTGTGCTAGAATCTGGGGAGTGGTGTAGGGTGACAGAAAACTAGGGAGGGATAGTCTGAGAGAAAGTTTTTTTGGAGAAAGTGCAAAGGCCTAGGCCAGGATTGGCAAACTATGGCCTGGATGACTAACTTGGTCACCAGCACAGTTTTGTAGAAGGCTGCTCAGGTTTTCCAACCTCTCAGATGGGAACATTTTATGGCAGGCTTGGCTGCTTCTGCCCTAAGCACTGAACTGGTCATCTCATCCTGTGCCTGGGGTGGCACTTCTACCAGGGATATTTGGTCCATAGATTAAGGTCTTGGAGAAAATACACCAAAGCGTTTATCATCATTTCCACCACAGCCAAATCACTAACAACACATCACCACTACCACCATCACTCTCCTGGCCACTATTACTACCACCACCACCACCACCACTACCATCTTCCTCTTCCCCATCACCACCACCACCACCACCACCACCACCATGACCTTCCTCTTTACCATCACCACCACCCCAAGCACCACCATATCACTGCCACCATCACCTCCATGATCACCATCATCACCACCAACTTCCCCTTCATCATCACCATTATCACCATTATCATTACTTATACCACCACCACCACCTTCCTCTTCCTCATCTCTATCATTACCACATTATTACCACCACCACCACCACCACCACCACCACCATCATGACCTTCCTCTTTACCATCACCTCCATGATCACCATCACCACCACCAACTTCCCCTTCATCATCACCATTATCACCATTATCATCACCTCCACCACCACCACCACCACCTTCCTCTTCCCCATCCCTATCATTACCGCCATTACCATCACCACTACTACCACCAACATCGTCACCACCATTATCATCATTACCACTATCATCACCACCATTATCACCACATCATCTTTCCCTTCATTATCTCAACCGCCAACACCCATACTTCTACCACCCCCACCGTCTCTACCACCAGAACCATTACCCTCACAACTGACACCCCGAACTCTACAGCCACCACCTTCTCCACCACCGCCCTCACCGGGGCCACTTTCTGCTCTGGGCCTGAGCCTTACCTTGCCCACGTGATGGGGCAGCGAGCTGTTTTTCTCTTCCTCAATGTGCATCTGGTTCCAAATCCAGTGTCTCTTCTGGCGCTGGTGGGTGAGCAGCCTGCTGGGAGTGTCCAGCTGGGCAGGGTGAGTGCCTGCGGCAGCTGCCATCAGCAGGCCTAGACAGGTGCCCGCTGTGGCCAGCAATATCAGGGGCAAATGCATCTTCCCAGGAGGCACAGATCTGGGGAAAGAGAGGAGACTCCATCAGGCTTATGGGTTACTACTCCAGTGGATGAGCAGCTCCCAGGGATAACTGAACTCCCCTGATCTGTTCACGCCTTCATCCTTCACCCTCTGCTGATGCCAGCAGCACCAGGCTCTGTTCCTGCCCCAAAGAGTTCCAAGTCTGGGAGGGGAAGATAGACACAGAAATAATTCCTATTAAATGTCACATGTGCTGGTGTGGCAGGAAGCGCAGGCAACAGGCAGCCCCAGGGGAGGGCTGTCGGGAAGGTCTCCTGGAGGAGGGGGTGATGCTGATGCTGATGCTGATGGTTGCTCCCTAAGCCCTATGCAGTGGGCACCCAGTTACCCTCCTTTTACACCCGGAAAATCAACCTACAAAGAAGTGATGTTCACGCTGGAGCAAGTGGTGGGGCGGACAGTGGGACACAGTTCCAAGCACTTTGTATCATCTCATTTAATCCTCCCAAGAGCCCTCGAGGTAGGTATAATTATAACCCTCATGTTAGAGATGAGCTGAGGAACAGAGGGGTTTAGTAACATTCCTGAGATCACTCAGACAGTAAGCAGCAGAGTCAGAATGTGAGCCAAGTCTGTCTGACCCAAAGGTTCATGCTTTTTTCCTGCTGCTCTCTTTTTCGTTTGTTTATTTATTTTCCAATTAACAGTTGACCTACAATGTTATATTAGTTTCAGGTTAACAGTGGACGTACAATGTTATATTAGTTTCAGGTGTCCAACCCCGTGATTAGACGTCTATATAACTTATGAAGTGATCACCCCGATAAAACTACTACCCATCGGACACCATACGTAGTAATTATAACATTATCAGCTATATTCTCTGTGCTGTACTTTACATTCCTGTGACTATTCTGTAACTACCAATTTATACCAAGAGGCAAAGAGAGACCCAGCATTTCCACGTGTGGGGATTTGAAGAAACCCAGAACACAAAATCGAAAAGACCCGTGTTCATTGCAGCATTATTTGCAATAGCCAAGATATGGAAGCAACCGAAGTGCCCAGTAGATGATTGGATAAAGAAGATGTGGCGCATATAGAAATTGAGTGTGACTCAGCCATAAAAAAAGAACGAAATCTCGCCATCTGCAGCAACATGGATGGAACTACAGGGTATTTATCAGAGTGAAATACGTCTGACAGGGAAAGACAAATGCTATATGATTTCACTTCTATGTGGAATCTAAAAGACAAAATAAACAAGCAGAACAGAAACAGACTCACAGATACGGAGTATTTTGACAGTTGACAGATGAAGGGGGTTTGAGGGATGAGTAAAAAAAAGGGGGAGGGTGAGCTGAGGTGGGGGCTGACAGTCTGGGCTCGAAAGATTGGCTTCATTATTTTCAGGACCCAGTGAAAAATTTCAGTGTGGGGTTCAAAAGTTATTAAGAATGTCAAGACGAAGATGGGAGAACAGGAAACCAAGCGTAGGGGCCTTTCAAGTGCAGGGCCCCCGCCACTGCCCGGATTGCATGCCCTGAAGGCAGCCCTCGGATCAGCCTGCACTGGGATCTGGGGTCACCCATCGGTGGGGGCCTGGCTCCATCCAGAAGTCCAGGAAGAGAGGCTTCCCCACCGCCCCACGGTGGATGGAGGCTCTGACCCTGGCCGTCACTGACCCCATCGGTCCTCCCTGCTGGGTCCCCTTGTCACTGACCTGCAGCCCCTGGGATGGTTCAGGGCAAGAAGGCGGGTGGGTAGTCGTGGGACCAGGGCTCCTGCCCAGAGAGACGCGGGCTTGCGGGGTGCTGGGCAGGAGGCCTCCTCCAGGGCTGTCCCCTGCAGCCGTCTAGGGGAGAGGCTGGACTCCGCACATCCCAGGAGATGTCCAAACTCTAGTGACATTTCCCCTGAGACACTGGCGCCAGGCGGGCCTCCGAGAGGGCCGAGGGTGTCTGCTCTGGGCCCGCGTGGCCTCTGGGACTGCTGACCTTAGCAACCAAAGCCCCCACCCGACGCCCATGCCACTGGCCTATGAGGAAGTGGCCTGCTGGGGTCGGGGTGGGGCAGAGCAGGCCCCAGAATGCAAGTGCCATGTGCCCAGGGGGAGGCCCGCCTGCCTCCACGTGTCACGTCTCACGGCTCATGTTTCTTAGTCACAAACGAGGCAGGTGACGTGGAAGAGGCCAGGTGCCCTTTGATGTAGGATCTGGAAAGGGCAGCCATTCCAGGCGAGAGGCAGGCAGTGAGCAGGGACGTGGGGAGGTGGGGAGTCCCGGCCAGGAAGCTGGTCCTGACTCAGGGGAGGTAGCGGGCATGACCCCTGTCCCGGCCTCTCCCCTGGACTCAGGCCCGGTGGGTCATTTCCTTCTTTGCCTGGAAAGGAACCACAAGTCTTGGTGCTTTCTTCCTCCCTCAAGTGGGAAGTGACTCAAAAGAGAAAAAGTCAGACAAACAGAATTGAAACTGGGAAAGAGGGAGTGATTTCAGGGCACTGAGCAGGACAGGGTGCAAGCCTTGCTGGGTATTGAGGCCCCTGGGGCGCTGCAGTGAGAGACAGACAGGAGCCACCCTGGGAGCACACCCGGTAGCGGGAGCACCTGGGAAATAAGTGAATGAGAAAAAGCTCAGCTAGTGATGAGAGGCGCCCGGGGGACCACAATGGAGGCCACAGCAGAGGGGACAGCGGCTGAGCCCGAGGGGCCAGGGAAGGACTCAGAGAGATGACACTTAAGACAACACCTGAGTGTCAGCCCCAGGAATTGAGGGGACGGAAGGAAATCCCAGGCAGAAGGACCAGCAAGCACAAAGGCCCGGAGGTAGAAAAGTGGATCGTGTGTTTGAAGAACCAAAAGAAGGCCCCTGGGCCCTAGCCGGTCGGGCTCGGTGGATAGAATGTCGGCCTGCGGCACGTACCTGGGTTGCAGGCTCCTCCCTGGCCGGGCCCCGATTGGGGTACATGCAAGAGGCAACCAATCGATGTGTTTCTCTCACATTGATATTTCTCTATGTCTTCCCCTCTCTCTTCCATTCTCTCTAAAAAAATTAATGAAAAAATATCCTTAGGCGAGGATTAAAAAAACCCCAAAAAGGCCCTGGGTCAGATAGAAATGAACAGCGGGGAAGGGTGGGGCGCAAGAGGAGGCGGCCAGGTCCGTGTGATGGTCCCTCCCCGAAAGATGTGCACACCCTCATCCCTGGAACCTATACCTGCCAGCAGGGCTTTCAGCAGATACGATTCAGTGAAGGATCTGGAGGTAGAGAGATTGTGCTGGATGGTGTGGGTCGACCCATGAAGGTGGGGGAGAGAATCAGGCCAAGGAGATGCGACCACAGAAACAGGCTGGAATGCTGCAGGCCTCTGACGGTGTAGGCACCTCCAGAAACCGGGAAGGGCAGGGCCTGGATTCTCCCTGGAGCCGCCAGAAGGACCACAGCCCCGACTTTAGCCCATGAGACCCCTTTCCGACTTCCCATCTCCGGAATGATAAGTTAACAAATGAGTGAACTTGTGTGTGTCAAGCCGCCACGCCTGGGCTGGTCTGCCATAGCAGCTGTAGAAAGCGAATGCGGTTGGGTTGTGCAGTTGGCCATGGAGAGGGAGGGGACTGGCTGAGTTCGGGGAGAGGAGGGGGGAGGCAGCCACTGGTGTAAGTGAGAGTTGATGACCTCTCAGACCAGGTTTAGGAGGGGCTGGCCACTGGGTATGTTTTTTGTTTTGTTTTGTTAATTCTCACCCGAGGATGGATGG